CACCCGCAATGCCTCAGCAAGCCCCTCTGCAGCACATTGAGCCTAGGTTGGTGTCGGCTTCAGTGTGCTGTGCATGAATAAACCCCCAATAAGCTCTGGAGTTTATTCATGCAGATTAATTGCACATGTAGACGTGCCCAGTATGAACTTCTGTGCTTACTGAAGTTAGTCATTTAAAGACTGTGTAAGAACTTATGTGTGGTCACTGAAGTGAGCAATACAGGCCACCTAAAACCAGAGCTTGATGGAATAAAAATAGCCCTTTGGCCAGTGTGGATGTCTTGGGTAGCAGAAATGAGTGTCTTGCAGATAAGTGGTGTTTACTGCTCTGCCTCCAGAGATCCTGCCTCAAGCCCATTTCACTTTGTCAATGCACAGATGACGCTGTGGAGGTGTCGCTGTGGGGATCTCGCGGCACAACTAGAGACCAGTAATATTTGCAGCCGTCCCAATAAGAAAGTGCAAGACGTGCTTTGGGAGATGTATTGGCTCAGTAGGAAGGGTACTTTATTACTGACTTGGCTGAGCAGCTGAGACAAGAGGGCACCAAGGAAATGTTAGAGGATAAAAGGGACAAGTAATTGGCAGTTTGACTAGAAAGATCAAGCCTGAATGGAGACTTTCTCTCCTAGAATTGCTTTTTCCAGGTTATGTTTGAGGGGGTGATGAGTGTATTTGTATTTAAGATGGAAATCTGCCCTGGTGCTTGGCCTGTGGTGCTTGGCTTGTGTGTCTTTGGTGGATACAGCTGTAAATCTGATGCTTTTCCTCAGCACAAAATTCAGCCTCAAGCTTGGCCCAGTGTGAATGCAGATTTGATTTCCCAAAGATTCTTGCATCTAAGCTTCATTCTCTGAATGGATTTCTCCCTTAAATTTTAGTGTTTTGCTCCTTCCTGAAACTCTCTAAGCTATTAGGCCGTGAAGAACAAATGGAGAGGGAGTGATAGGTATGGCAGTGGGGTGAGACTGAGCTATCTTTGGTATAGTATTATTGGGTCTCTGCACCAATAGGCTGTAGCTGTCAAACTGAATTAAGTGTGGAAGGAGAGAATAAGAGGAGCCTGGGAAGAAAAGAAACTCTTGTTAAGCAATCATTCTTTTAATCGCATTTAGACACTACCAATGATTAGCTCATGTGGCATAGGACTACACTGTCCAGGGTTATTGGTCTGTGCAGCCGTTTGAATGCTCTGAAATGGGATTAAGGAGAAATGGATGAGAATAAGGTGTTTTTATTTTAAAAGCACAAGCTACAACAACACGTCTTCTGAATGTGGGTCAGATATAATATAATCTAACGCTTTTTGATTTCTTTGGTAGTTTCTCCCTCAAAATGTTTTACAATCATGAGTGAATAACCCTTTCATCTAATTTCTGTGAAGTAGATATTATTCCCATGTCCAAATGTGGAACCTGAGGCACAAAACTAGATCCTGGTCCAGGCCAGAGCGGTGTTTATCAGGGAAGGTATGTGCAAAAAAAATTGGCCTTAGTTTTTTGTGTTCCATCTTGCTAGCCATGTGTTGTCCTGGCTTTTGGCCAACCCCCTGGCACAGATTAGGGTAGCCTGGTAATAATAAAGTGGGCAAACATCCATTAGGGATTGTACTGAGATGCATATAGTCACGTCCCAGAGGCAATTGATGGGACAGCAGATGGTAGTGAATTTTGGCCTCAGGTCAGTGTGAAACTGCTTCTTTTAGAGATAAAAGACTTCATATATCATTCTCAGTCCCCTGGGCCTTCCTATTTTACCTCTGCCCCATTCTCTGCCTGGCTTGTTACACACACAGGAGACACTGCAGTGATGCATATCCTCTAGAACTTAAACATCTGTTTAAAAACAAATCCTTCCTCTGAAGTCTGTCACCAGGAAGAGGAATGTTGTAGGAGGCAGAGCCAGCATTATATTCCTGTGATATCTCCCTATGGGTGAGCTGATGTAAAGATATGCCTGGGATATTGCGTGAAGTGGCTGTCCTTAGACATGTATCCTTAACCCTGGTAAAGCCCTGATGAGCCTCAAAGCTATGGTGTTCGTGACTTTTGTATGTTTGGAGGCTGGGAAATGCTGCCACTGAGACTCAGTTCCTTCCTTTTGGCAGGATTTAGCAAGTCACACATTTCTTTCATCCCTGTCACAGCACACATTGGAAGGGACAGATAATCTGTCCCTGCAGTTAAGTATATACCCAAAAGTCTTGGCTGAGGGGAGTTATAATCCTTCTGAAAGGCTGAGCATTTGTTATCCCAGGGCACTATAGAGGAATCTCTTCCTTCTCTGCTGTGCTCAGCCATATCTGAAGGGCAGCGGGGCCAGGAGCGGAAACCATCACTCTGGATTCCATTTGCTTTGGGGACCTAGAATCAGGCACTTAACATTAATTTAATAGCTGTTAATTGGGGAATCAGTGCCAACGGTTCTGGCAGCCAGCCCATCCACAATAAAACATCGCCTCATCCTTTGCTGTGGGAGGCAGCCTGGTCTGCTTAGAGAACACAAATCCTTTAACAAAAGATTTCAGGGGGAGGATGGGTAAATATTCAGGATTCAGCCCCTGTAACATGAAAGTCGTCAGGCAGAGTCAACCCTCTCAGTTTGTTCTCCACTAGCCATCCATAGCCCTGAATTTTGACTTTCTCATTCTGTCTCTTCTCTGCCTCATTTTAGTCAGTGATGGATTAATCCTGCATTTCTATGGGATTAATTTTGTGCAGAAGAAGCCTCATATAGGCCCAGTGTTTATTTGGCCTGATCCAAGTGCCATTGATCAGAAAAGATGGCTAGAGATATCCACGAGAACAGGCCTTCTTGTGGAATCTCAACTTGAGATTGACTGACTTTCATGTTACAGGGGCTGAAGCCATGGTGGAAGTCCCGTGGGGACAACCTGCCTTGGTATTAGTGCTTCAGCATCTAGGCAGGAAGCAGAGAAGCTACAGAAACTCTGTGTGTTAGAAGGAACAATATAAATATTTGTCCAGAGGTCTTGAGCCTCAGTTTTTGATTTGAAGGGGCTAGCTTAGAGTCAGGTTTGGGAGGCAGTGGTTCAATTTTAGGGCACAGATCTATTTCAGATTTTGTGTAGAATTTGGGGGCTGATATAGGGGCAAAATTTGAATTAGTTGATTCCTCTGGACTGCTTACTTGCCTCATGCTTTGGTGTGGAAAAGGGGATGTATTTTACAGAAAAATGTGATACAAAGCATTGTGTCTGGAAGGCAATAAATGGCATAGCTGTTTAGGTGGAAAGCATTCTGTCAATACTGTGTTGAGAGCAATTTAATTAACTTTTAGTAGACAGCGGTCAGCCACAGCCTTTGTCTTAACAAGACATATAGATCTGTGTGATAGAAAGAACAATGTTGGCACTCTTGGAAAATTCTCAGAACAAGAGTATTTGCTCTTATTCACAAAAATAAACTGCTAGAGAACCAAGTCCATCTGAGACAGGGAAGCACCACATGTAAGAAATCCCCTCTCCGTCTGGCACCAGAAGATCTTCTATCTGCTAATTCAGACAATTTAAAATACTCCCCAAAAGTCCTTTCTCCTTCTGGTAGAACTACGGATTCTTTCCCCTTGGGACAGCTCTAGACAAATCCGGATTGGGAAGGGATTAGCCAGATGAGACTCTTATGTCTGCCCAGACTTGATTCTGGCTGTGTCTCTGGTGTATTCTGTTTACAGATCTGAGTCACCATAGTAGCTTAAAGAAAAATGTTTTGTTTTCCAACCAAGCCAAGAGGGAATGAAGGAAAATCAGGCCACAGCCCCATTTGAATGGAGAAAGCTCCAAGTACTGTTTGAACTGGGGTTCACTTCCAATGGCCTCATAGGATTCCTCCCATGTGGTGCTTTGGTCCCCTTGCACCAGGCCCAGTATGGCGCAGGTGCCAGCTAGCATCTCCCCTTTTCCCCCAGTCAATACTCCTCTCTCCCTCTTTCTCCACTTGTTTCTTCCTTCCAGTATTTTCTGTTACTTTCCTCTGTGGGTTTCTGTTGTCTCCTGCTCCACTGTTCCCTGAAGACAACCTATTTCTCAAGACTGGATAGGCCTGCGGTGGCTATACGAGTCTGGGAAGCATATGCTCCTGTGGGACTCGGTTCAGGTGAGGAAAGAGAAGAGCAGATGGGCGAACTGTAGATTTGCATGCATCAGCTGTTTTCATGTGTAGGCTCTACAAGACCAGGATGGGACAGTGAATGCGTGTCACATGGAAGTTGCCGCTTGGAAGCTTAGTGTGAGGAGGTGGTGGAGTTGAGGGTGACATCCGTCAGGCTTAATGGGTCCTCAGGTGACCGAGGAGCCTGATTCTGGATACACACGTTCTTTGGCAATGGGGGCATGTTGTTGCGTGGGGGAGTGGGATTTGCAGCCCCAGGTTCATCTCCTTCCTCCACCACCGCTGTTCTGCCTCAGTATCGAGTTGTTGGGCCAGTCCTCAAAGTGGTGCGCACCTTGGTGAACCAGGTGGCGTCACACTGAACCGGCTGAATGACTGGTGACTGACCAACGGTGAGTGACTGTCACATGGAAGTTGCCACTTGGAAACTTAGTGTGAGGAGGCCCTTGCAGAGTTGCTGGGATTACTATGTAATATAGACCAGGCCTCAGCTCCTGATCTGAAGCAGCCCTTGCTATTCAGGTGCTGAGCCACTGTACCTGACAAATCTGTCAAAACAACCCTATTCTGACTTGCAGTTGCATTATCCCATTACAGACAAAGAAATGTCACAAAGGTGAGAATTGAACCTTGTTCTATTTAGTCAACAAATGAAATCCAAGGGGGGCTGGCAAGTGTCCAGAACAGCCTGCTTATCTCCACATTACTCACTGTTGCACTTCTCAGTGGTCATGCATCCCCATGAAATTATGGTCAGACACGTTGGCCTTCTATAATACCATCCTCTTTCATACAGAGGATTTCGAAAGAGAATTTATTTGACTGTGGTTTTTCATTAGAAACTGCCTATCTGTTGAAGTTTTTCTGCAGGAACCTACCCATTCTGACAGTAAAGTTCCCTTGGTTTTGACTACAAAAAGAGAGACCTACTCCATATTAGCCACCTGATCAGCCACTTACCTGATACGTAGTAGATCCTGGCTCAAGTCCCTGTGCCGCATGATTCAGCCAAAGGCTCGGGCCATCCTGCAGATTAGGGTGAATCTCTATGTGTTGTTTTTTTTTAAATGGAAAGGTCTCAGTTTTAACCCAACAGGGGTGTGAAGGAAATTAATCTCAGGGTTTTGTGGGACAGGAAAAACCAGTTCCTGTTCAATTTTGCTTTTTATACAGTGTCTCACTGGGGTATTCTTAGGCATCACAGAGCAACCATACAAACAGAGGACTATCAGACATCATGCTGATCTTTTAGAGAAGATTGTGCCAAAGGGAACCTTGCAAATATGGTCTACTTCAGCCTGATGGGAAGTGGGCAGATTGGAGATCCTTGAAGTAGCAGACAGTATCCCTTTAAAAGCACTTAAGCTAGGCCAACAGAAGGTTTTAGATTGGCAGGACTCTCCTCCTCCTGTCATCTGGAGGGAAGACAGGCTCCCAGCTGATAACAAAGCTCTCCCACCCACTATAATTAGAAAGATAAAAGCACATAGAACAGAGGTTTAATTGGAGCAGCCGTGAAAAGAATGCTTATGCTGAAGATTTCTTAGATAGATTTCCAGCCACTTTTCTGAGTCTGAAGAAACTCAAAATGTAGAACTTATGCTCCACAGACAGATTTTCTCTGGGTCTTTTGATGTGGTGGGAGAGGAACGGATCCCTAAGGATAAGGTAGCTGCCACTCTTCTGAGTGCATCTCCCTCCTGGGCAGCTTTAAAAGACTTGGGGTTCTCTTGTGTGGACACATGTCCATTGTTTATAAGAACTCCCCTGGTGGTTGATCTTGGATACTTATTTCTCTCCTTGCTCACAGGCTCAGCAGAGATGAATGGTGACGGCTACTGCTGTGGCTGCTGCTATGGCAGTGAGGGCTCAGGCTGCTGCAATAACCCCATGGCAAGGGCTCCCCAGAGGCTGCCAGTCTGGTGCCCTCTCTAAATTAGGGCTGGTGCCTCACTCACCCAACCCACTCTTGAGAGGGTTCAGAGGAGGGCCACTTGGATGGTCAGAGGCCTGCAGGCAAGGCCCTACGAGGAGAGACTGGGGGACCCGGATCTCTTCAGCCTTTGCAAAGGAAGGCTGAGAGGTGATCTTGTGGCTGCCTATATGTTCATGAGGGGAGGGCAGCAGGGAATCAGAGATGCTGTATATACTAGGGCACCCCTGGAGTAACCAGGAACAATGGCCACAAATTGACGGAGAGCAGATTTAGGTTGGACATTAGAAAGAACTTCTTTATGGTAAGGGTTGCCAGAATCTGGAATGGGCTTTCAAGGTAGGTGGTGCTCTCTCCTGCCTTGGGGGTCTTCAAGAGGAGACTGGACAAGCACCTAGCTGGGGTCATTTGACCCCAGTGCTCTTTCCTGCCCAGGACAGGGGGTCAGACTCGATGACCTACTGAGGTCCCTTCCAACTCTAACATCTATGAACCCCTAGATGTGCTACTTGCCTGCCCTGTAATGAGAAGAGTAATTGCCTGTTGTTTGTAGAGGGGCCCAATTTAGTTAGGAACTCACTGGCTCCTATATACGTACAGGGAGCCTGCTCTGACATGCTGCACTTCCAGGAGGTTGGAGCAGATTCAATTAATCGAGGCTGCTGGAGCATGGTAATTATTGCAGTCTCCAGCATCACATGTATCAGTGTCCATACGCTGAAAAATGGTGGTGGGACTCTTTAAACTAAAGCTCGTTCAAGTTGTAGTTCAAAGCACCCTGCTGCCATTTCTCAGTGCAGGGACGCTGACACACGAGACACTCCAGGCGCTTCTAATTAGCACAGCTCTTGGAGCTGCACTAATTAAAGCAACTCCCCAGCCCCCTCAAAGCACATTTGTAAAAGCCCAGTCATGCCAGATGTTGAATATTTCATCAGATGGGCTAGACACGTCTTTTAAGATGCTTTTTAGTTACTTTAAGGAGAGAGTGCGAAGTCCCTCATAGGATCAAGTCCCTGCTAAGAGATGCTTATTTTCTGGACTTTGTCATTTCAGTTTCTGCCCAAGCCAGTGACTGCACGTGAGTCACCATGGCAACCAAGCAGCCCCCACCTTTGATGAAGAAGCACAGCCAGACGGACCTAGTGAGCCGACTGAAGACACGGAAGATCTTAGGAGTTGGAGGGGAAGATGATGATGGGGAGGTTCATAGGTCAAAGGTAAGGACTGCCAGAGGAGACTGTGGTAATATAGCACCTTTGCAGGTGTACAGAGAAGGGACTGGCTGGCCCTAAGAGAGAAATAATGAGGGCCATATTTTTGGCAGCTCTGCAGCAAGGAGAAAGGTGATCAGAAACACTCTTAAAAATGGTCACCCCCTCGATGTCCATGGAGAGTGTGAGAATTTGGGAGCTTGCACCTCTTTCTTTAGGGCCTGCACAAAGAGGAAAAACTGGTTCCATGTCTGGTCTGTGAAATGAACAAGTGCATTTGAAAGTCACATTAAGACTCAAGAGGCTCAGTTATAATATTTTCACATGCTGGAGCGAGAAAAAGACATGTGCAACTCGCCCATTTATGAATTCAGTTTTTCTGGGTTAAATATTCACAGGGGTGTCGTGATAAACAGATGCTCACAGGACATCTACCCCGGGGGGTTAGAAGCAAAGAGATGCTCTACATTTGAATTCTCTGGTACTGTGAAGGCTTAATGGCAGGTCAGCAGTCACTGGAGAGAGATGTCACTGCAGAAGAATGGCCAATAAATGTGAGAAATAACTGGATAAGTAGTGCCATGAATCTGAGTTGACAGCTCTTCTTTTTTTTTTTCTGTCTGAGGTACAAATAAATGGCTTGTGGGGAGGAGACCTTCAGATTTCAATACTCCCCAACTTTTGGGGAAGTTCAGACCCTGATCTGAGCAAATATCTTGGGCCTGTCTCTAGGATGAGCCAAACCAACACCCTGTATCTGAATGTAATGTCAGAGGTTCAGGCCCCTCTCTAGATGATGAAAATAGGTTTCTAAGAAAAACTGGCTCGGATAATGGGGCTGGTTTTCTGCCTGAGGAGAGGACTAAGCAATGAGGTGCACAGTCACCTCTCTAAGGGCCTGGTTTTTCCTAAGTGTAACATAATATCTAACATCTTGATCAGTGAAGCAATTCAGAACAGGATGAGCAAGAAAGATAGCTGGGGAAGGCAGGAAAGAAAGAAACAACAGGAGTGTATGGAGAGGTAGATGGAAACTAGGAGACAGTATGCTCATTGGAAGAGACTAATAAGGGGGAAATGGGGAGGGAAGAATTTTGTGGGGAGAGACAGAGGATTGATTAGAAATTAGGCTTGAATTTCTCAAATCCTAGTATCTGCTTTATTTAGGATTTTAAACAGCCCATCAACCCTAGGACCATAAAGTATTTCCTGTGCTGCAATTTCTGGAACTCATGAATTACTGAAAGTGGCTCTGGGAAAAAAAAAAAGGAAACAGGGCATGCACATGTATGTATGTGTTTCTGTTACCACTTGACTCTCTCCCTTTTGTCCTTTGGTTCAGAGGCATGAGCTTTTGTAGGCAACAGCTATGATGAAGTATAATGTTTAACAAAGCTGGCTGTTGTCTATTATTGGGATGCTGCAGGTTGGTGGAGCCTCTTTCCCAATCTTGTAACCTTTGTGACTTTCAATGGAGGTGGAACTGGTGCTGGGCAGTGGAGCGTGCCAGTGCCTCTCTGACCGTGGCTGCCTGGAAGCAGTATAGGTATGCTCCAGGGAGCAGAGGAGGTGCAAATGTAGTCTGGGTCAGCTGTTGTGACCTGCATGGGATGTGCCAGGTTCATGTTCCTTTCAGAGGGCCAGGAGCACTTCATCCATATCAAGTGTAAGCGGGTGGCTTCCTTGGACGAGAAGATTCACATATTGGAAGCATGGGTATCCATGCTGCATTGCATCTGGGATCAGGAAGATTATTTGGACAAGAGTTCAGAAAGGCTGGTACTGGAGGGGCCAAAAAGCAATGCGGAGAAGTGGCAGCATGTGACTACTCGAAGAAGGGAGGTCTCTAGAACTGAAGAGGAGAGGACTGAAGTCAGTAACTGCTTTCAAGCAGTCTGTGGTGGAACTGCTCAGGCAGAGGAGAAGACATCTGCAGGCATGAGGCAGAGGAGGCAGGAGCCTAGAGAGCAGGAAGTGCAAGGCTTCAAGGACAGGGGCTCCAGGACCACTGCACAAAGAAAGAAGAGAATAGTAGTATTGGTTAGTGACTCCCCTCTGCAGGGGACAGAGGCACCAATTTATTGTCCAGATCTGGGGGCCTGGGAGATGTGCTGCATGCCTGCAGCCCAAATTCAGGACACCACAGAAAGTCTGCCAAAGCTCATCCGTCCTTTGGACCACTACCCCTTTCTGTTTGTCTACGTAGGTGCCAATGATACATCCAGGAAAATACTGATCATATCAGAGGTGACCGTGAAGCTCCTGGCAGAAGGATTAAGCAGCTTTGAGCACAAGTGGTGTTTTCATCGTCATTGATCCTTCCTGTGGAAGGCAGGGGTCAAGGCAGAGACCATAGTATCCTGGAAGTGAACGCATGGCTGAGACGGTGGTGTCAGTGTTAAGACTTCAGCTTCTTTGACAATGGATGAATGTTCTTGGGAGGAAGACTGCTATCAAGAGAGAGGATCCATCTGACAAGAGCAGGGAAGAGTATCTTTGGGTGTCATCTGACCAACCTAGTCAGGAGGGATTTTAAACTAGGTTCCATAAGGCATGGTGATCAAAACCCCCCAGCAACAGTGCACACAGTCCAAAGGAGAAAGGACTTGAAGAAGCAGCTTAATTCTGAGAGAGGGATAAATTGCTACAGGGCTGAAACAAGTGACATAAAAAGAAAGGGAGGAGGTCAAGATGCAAAACACATCTGATGCATATATACAAATATGAGCAGTATGGGGAATAAACAATATGAGTAGTTCTTTTCACAATCTACCGCCTAGGAAAAGAACTACAACTTGATTGTCATCACAGAGACTTGGCAGGACAGCTCTTGTAACTGGAATGTGAGCATGGAGGGTTGCACTCTGTTTCAGAAGGACAGGGTTGGGAGAAAAGATGGTGGTATTGCCTTGTACATGAAAAACACATAGACTTGTTCCCTGGTTCAGAAGGAAGAAGATGACAAAGCAAAATACATTTGGATGAAGATGAGAGGTGAAAGACGCTGCACTGGTGTAATGGTGAGGATTCATTTTAGGCCACCTAATCAAGAAGAGGAAGTGGATGATGTACTTCTCAAGCAGGTGACAAATCCTTCCAAAAGCTATGAGATGGTACTGACGGGACTCTTCAGTTTTCCCGACATTTGCTGGAAGAACAATGTAGCCATACATAATGTCAAACCAGTTCCTAACTTGTGTGGAGGAAAACTTTCTCTTCAAGAAAGTGGAAGATACAACTATCTTTGATCTTGTCCTGACCAACAGGGAAGAGCTGTTGGAGGATGTGAAGTTGATGGGTAACTTGGGAGGAAGTGATCACAACACACTAGAATACTAGATCCTGAGACAGGGAAAACATGAGGTCAGTAAAATTAGGACGCTAGACTTCAAAAAGGCAGATTTTATCATAGGAGGATAGACTGAAGGGTAAAGGCTCTAGGAGCTTCTAAAGGGCACAGTATTGAAAGCCCAACATAACTGTCATGGTACCATGCAAATGTATGTAGGGAACAGGAGAAAAACAAATGGAAGTGTGGGGCTATTGCCTAACAACTCAGGACAGCTGGCTACTGACACTTGGGAGAAAACTGAACTCCTGAATGACTACTTTGCTTTGATATTTCACTGGGGAAAATCATGCTAAATAAGGTTCAGAATGGGCATGGTGGGAATGACCGCCTTCCTACCATTGATGTTGAGCTGGTGCATGATCAGTTAGAAAAATTAGATATTTTATAAGTTAGCAGGACTGGATAAACTTCATCCAAGAATGCTGAAGAAGCTGGCCAAAGTCATTGCAGGACCTCTGGCGAAACTCTTTCAAAACTCATGGCACTTCAGGGGAGGTCCCTGAAAATGGCCAATGTTCCCATCTTCAAGAAGGGGAGGAGAGAGGACCTGGGAACTATAGGCCAATTAGCATAACTTCTATCCCAGGGAAAATCCTGGAAAAAATTATCAAAGAGTCTATGTGCAATATGCTTGTAGAAGGTAGGATTCTGAATGACAGCCAGCATGGCTTCATTGCAGGCAGGTCTTGTTTTACCAGTCTTGTTACCTTCTATGACCAGGTAGCTCACCACCTGGATAAGAGAGAGGAGGTCAGCATTGTATACCTAGACTTCCAAAAGGTCTTTGATCTGCTATCTCATGATGTTCTCATGGGAAAATTGGAGGATTGTGGGCTTAACTGCTCGACAGTTAGGTGGGTAGGAAGCTGGCTGCAGAGTAGGACCTAATGAGTGGATCTGTGTCGTCCTGGCGAGAAGTGGCCAGTTGTGTCCCTCAGGGGTCTGTGCTTGGTCCAGTGCTTTTCAAGACCTTTATCAATGATTTGGTTGTGGGGGTAAAGAGCTCACTGGCCAAGTTTGCGGATGACACCAAATTATGGGGGAGCATGATCACACTTGGAAAATAGGCTGCAGATACAGGCAGACCTAGACAGGCTGGCAAGTTGGGCGGATCAGAACCAGATGAAGTTCAACATTGAGAAGTGTAAAATGCTCCACCTGGGGATGAACAATCTCCAACATACTTACAGTCTTGATGGCGCCAAACTGACTAGCACCACACTAAAAGGGACCTAGGGGTAATAATAGACCATAGTATGAACATGAGTCATCAGTGTGATGCTGTAGCCAGCAAGGCAAACAGTACTCTGGCATGCATCAACCAATACATCTCGAGCAAAACCAAGGAAGTGATTCCCCCACTTTACTCAGCATTGTTGAGGCCACAGCTGGAGCATTCTGGGCGCTGCACTTCAACAAGGACATGGAAAAGCTTGAGAGAATCCAGAGAAGAGCCACCTGTATGATTTAGAGACTTGCAAGGCAAGCCACATAAGGAAAGGCTGAGGGACTCGGGCCTCTTTAGCCTAAAAAAGAGAAGTCTGAGAGGGGACTTGGTAGCAGCTGACCACTATATCAGGGGAGTATATCAAGGGCTCAGTGAACAACTGTTCACCAGGGCACCCTTTGGGAAAACCAGGAGTAATGGACACAA